CCACCTGTGCCTTGTGCAGCCCCCCAGCTTCATGGCAATGGTGGTGACAGGAAGGGGGCTACATGCCTCTAAGACTTGGGACTACAGCCCCTGTTTCAGGAAATAAAAAGGGGGGTGGTGACATCGCTGATGATCAAGGTTCTGTGCCTAACCAAATCTCTTTCTTCCTATCTGCAACCCTGTCTTTTTTCTCTGACCCACTCTTACCCACCAACCTGCCATGCCTGTGCATCCTAGCCATCTTATCCAAATTCTCACCCATGCTCCCCTTACCCCCATAGCCTAGAAGGGTCTCAGAGATGCTCACACCGAGGTCACAATCCCTCATCCCAGGTAGGAAGAACTTGTCTACCTATCTTAGCCAGAGATTCTGAATTCCATTCAAAGGTAACATCTAAATTAACATACAGGCTACATCTGTGTAGCTGTGGTGTTAATTGCTGCTGTCCTTAAATGTTAAGTGCATTTAAATTCTCTAAAGCATGTTTCCCCAAATTAAAAACAGTGCCGTTTAAGGATTTAACATTGGTCACCCATAAAGTATATCTATGGTAAAAAAGTGTTGTAACTTATTTAAAATTCATTTACTCTAAAGGCAAAATTAAAAGGGAAAATTTATTAGTACAATGTCATATTTGTACACCAAATATAATGCTAATTAATGCTGCCCATCATAATTATTATTCTAGAATGTGATATACAACAAACCTTTAAAAACATTCTAACCTTAACTGTTCTCTGCTGATAAAATTAGGCTTACAGCCAAGAGGTTAAAGAAAATGGGTTTTTATATATGGACATTTAAAATAGACAATTTAATGAGAGATTTGCTTCTTAACAATTAATTTTTTTTTTAAATTAACAAAATTTTGTTCTCCACAGCTCAAAGTAGTATGTCAAATTCTAAACTTGTTTAAGGTCCTTTCTAAGCTGTAGATCTGTAAATGGCTGGGTTCTACAGAGTTTAGATTCTTGGCTTTTTAGGTAATGACAAAGCCCATTTATAAGAAAATCCAGGATCTAATTATAAACATTAGGAGTAACCTGGTCACTAACAAAACCTTTTAAATCCCACCTTAGCTTGCTTCAATTTGGTCTTTTCATTAGCATGCCTAACTCATAGGCATCTGTATCCCAGGGGGAGATCTCTTTTATTCCTATAACACACTGCTATTTTGAGCCTGTATGTTGCATGTAGCATGTCTTTATGTTCCATTTGAGAGACTCTTTGTGGTCAAAGGAAATGCCACCATAAAGGAGCCGCCATGTGTCCAGAGCCATCTTGCCCTCCCTAGGAATAGGTGATGTTAACTTGCTTTACTCTAGGAAGATTGTAACTAACTAGTGGTTAAAATTCTCTAGATTATTATAATTTCTATACATGTTGTTTTTACTGCATTAATCTGTTAAGGATTAAGCCAAGGGTATTTATGTTAAAGATCTGTTGTGAACTACTTAGGAATTTGGCTAATCTTCTAGAGATAATGACAAAGAAATGGCTTAAGAGTACACTCTAAATTAATGTAATTGTTTTGCGTTCATTGTGTGTGTTGTCTGTACATGTCTTTATTTCCTATCAATTGTGGCTACTTAATTTTTACTTTTTTGAGCTCATTGTACATGCTTATATTCATTGGCATGCCTTGGTCATAACATATATGTGCCTGTGTGTGTGTGTTTAGATGTCTTTAGGATGGTTCTTAAGCTACTTTTATAAAGTTAATGTGCACAACTGTCTCAAAGGTTATCTAAAGTTCTAATCCCAATCAGGCCTAATTATTCTCTGCCTTACAACTAAAGAAAATTTTATAAACAATAATCTCAATCTGTTTTATTCTACCATGAGTGTAATTTACATTTAACTCTTTTAAAATTAGGTTTATTGATCAATGTGTTCTCATAGAGTGCTGTTATTAAAAGATGGCTTAATTTAATTTGCTTCCTAAATCTTTTAAGGTATAAGGTTACTAAAAGTTTTATTTAAAACAGTGTTATCTAAATTGAGGTTTTTACAAAGGTTATTTCAATATACAAACTTAGGTCTCTAAGCTTGTAAGTTTTTAATTTAACATTTGCCTAAAAGTTTTCTAAGGTTAAAATTTAAGGTACCAATATGTACTTAAAAATGGGTTTCTGTTTTATCAAAATAACTATCAAGATCTTTTGGTGCTGTAGGCTAATACAAAATTTACCAAAATCAAACAAAAGCCCACCCTCCAGAGTAATATACTTAACCCCTTATCTTTGTTTCTGTATCTAATTATTTAAAGCATTAATCTTAATTGCCTTATTACTAAAAATTATACATGTTCTCCCATGTTTCTCAGTTTTCAAGCTGACTACAATCCCATGGCCTGATATAAAAACTAACCGCAAGTGATGGGTTTCTATCAGCCAAGCTTACTTTGGTACAATTTGGATTCTGTACTGGTCATAATAGCTCTGATGTTTTAATAACTGGGTCAACATTCAGGATCAACATCCCATAAAAAACAAAACCCCTCATGCTGGGTGGCTGAGACTGGCCCTTAGGGGAATGGTTTACTTAGAAGCCAGGGTCCCCTGCCACTCACTCGCTTGCTCCAGAGGCATGTGATGGAAACAGGTCACAGGGACCTGTGTTGAGGCTTTCAGAAGGTTCAAGAAGGATACTTTGAGAATCTAGAAAGTTCTCGTTTTTCTCTCTCCAAAAGGGCAACTATCTACCTCCCCTTTCCTCTCTCTCATACTCCACCAGCCAGCATAGGGAATTCCATTCAGGAACTGTCGTGCAGGGGTGGAGGGGTGAGTGGATTCTCTCCCTCCCCTTTCCCTCTCCCTCTTTCCACCAGCCAGCATAGGGAAAGCCAACATATTCATTTGGCTGTATACTTAAGTGTATGGGAGATGCTTTGATCCTGCTAACCAAAATAAGATGAGTAGTTCTCTTCATAGCCCTTTTAAGATTATTTACTGTTCTTTATATCCTGCTCAAATTAGTCTCATGCCAGACACAAAAATCTAAGGTATTTTTCCAATAACACTAAAGAAACTAAATTTTAAAACTAAGGAGAAATTCCTTTAAATGGTTTTAATACTCCTAGAGCCTTATATGTGTATCTAAATGTCATAAAATCATTTATAGAGTTAAAAGTATATAAATGCAAGTGGCTATAATCTTTTTAGCTAAGATACCTTCTAATAAGGTCTTTGACATTTCTGCTCTTTATGACAAATGCTAAAAGTTCTATCATTTAGACCTGACCAAAAGTCAAGGTTTAGAATATAATTAACCATGATTACTTTAAGTTTTGTCATTACACTTCTGATCCTTCAAAAACATTCTCAGGCAAGTCTATGAAAAATGACTCTGACAAGCGCTTATCTATCAACCAGGACAGACATTCTTAAGTATTGGAATCATTTTGTATTTTCCTTCTAAAACTTTATAACACTACCTACTAACACTTTACAGCAATTTGAAGGTGTCAGTACATCCCCTGTGGGACAAGCAATTAGATTAATTAAGCCCAGGCTAACAACCACTTTTATAAATCTCTTTTTTGCTTAATTGGCCAAAAAGGTTGCATTGGCACTGACTTCTGATCTGTTCAACTCTTCCTCTTCCGTTGGATAGAATCTGACTTTCTGGACTTTCCAGGGGAGCACTCCCACCCCGAGGGAACAGAACTGCTAAACTGGCAAAATCTTCAGAGATGACTTTTCAGAGAAATAGTTTAAGAGGACATGACCCCTGAGTAGTCAGTGTCTCCCAACTTCTCAGGGGAACAAGTGGCGTTCAGCCACCCAAGACAGTTCAAAAGGACTGAACAAATGAGGGGACTACTCCAGATGCAGATGGAGTCAATTACGCCAGAACTCTAATAGTAACCAAAGCTGAGAGATTTTAAAAAGGGGGGCTCTTACACATGTACTTTAATATTTAAGCCTTTCTAGGCTTCTGGCAAAAGGCAAACTCATGTCTTTGGCCAAAGCCTTCTATTTAAACAAAGGCAATATCACTTTCAATGGTGTCTAACTTCTGCTTAGGGACACCATGAGCCTCCTTTCTGAACAGGACTGACTCATTGATGTTTCCTCTCTAAGTGGAGTAACATCAACCCCCGGTACACCTGGCCCCTAATGTAGTCAGCCTTTAACTCCAGTCCAAATAGAGGGCCATCCAAGGGTTAAAAATAGCTACAGGTATAAACACCTATAGGTAAAATAACCATAAGACTCCCTGTCACTTTTCAGAATTACTTTGTCCTTCCTGCCACACCTGGCAGGGCCCCTTCTGATGTGCTTATCAGTGTTAAATGTTCAGGTCATGCCTTCTAAATCAGATTTACCTCTTCCAGAATTAAAGCCTTTAGGGGCCAAATCACAACATGACAGGGCTGTCAACTTCTGGAGGAGGACAGGACACCCATAAACAATCTTGATTGTGCTGTACAAAGATTCAGACATCAAATGTCACTGTTCAAGTCCCCAGGGACAGTGATAGGAAAGGGGCAATATTCCTAATAGGCAGGGTCTACAGTCCCTTGTCAGCTCAAAGCAGCTACTGAAGATGGACCTCTCCCTTCCTCAGCAACCCCCAAAATGAATTTTTGGCATCTTGTCCCTCAGAGGGAGTTTGAGGCAGGTTAGGTCAGGGATAGTCTGGGACTGCTCCCCCTCTTGACTCAAGGGCTTCTCCCCCTAGCCCATAGGTGAGAGGAGCCAGGTGATGACATAATATCTCCCCACCTCCAAGTTCAAGGTGGTATAAAAATGACATACCAGCCCTTCTTCTTCCCTTTCCTCACCTGGCAGAATGGATGACTCTCCTTTTCTCAATAAAGCTATCCTACCTCACCCCATCCATGTGCTCTGCTTGGATTTTTCCAATTGTAGCACAAAAACCAGGATCTCCTGATCACAGACTGCCCCAGCGCCATTAACATGAAGACATAAGCACGACCATTTCTCACTGCAATTCCAGTGCATTCAATGAGCACAAAGAAAGATTGCCTTACCTTGTGCACACAGGCTTTTGCATTCAGGAAAAACAGCTCCACAGTGGTCTTATCCTTTAAAAAGCATATGCTCTCGATGTAAAACCTGAAAAACAGTATAGGAGTTTGCTTTTTCAGATTTATTTCCTTCTCTTAGCATGCATGATTTCATTTCTTCTTTTGGTGTGGTCCACAAGTGAAACAGACTTTTGAGGAACTGGGTGATAATCAATAGTGGTGCCTTCTTTCCCACCTGTGCATTTTGTATGTTTGTGTAAGTCTATTTGTACATTTTATGTACATTCTGCACATAAAATTTTGCACAGAATGTTTTTGTGTGTTGGAAGGTTAGTTAGATGGACACTCAAAACAGGTCCAACTCCAAACACAAATGTATTTGTGTTGCTTATTTTCTGGGGGCTCATAATACTTTCAGTGACTTCAGCAGAGAGCCCAGGTGCCCTCTGAGAGCTGAAAGTTTGGTTCTGCTGAGCAATCGGGGCAAAATTGAACCTTGAGGCACCCTGGTGGCCCAGTGGCTTTCAGACTTAGGGTGAGTCTAGGGCCTTACACCACCTTGCCCCCATCCCTTGGGGAGTTTCAGTTATGACCTCCCTCCTTCTCTGTCCTCCTTCCATTCACTGGGGTTTCCCTTGGCTGGAAGCCAAGCTCTTAGTAGCAGGCCATCTTGGTCTTTTCTCATGCAAATCAGGGTATTTGATGACTCCCTCCTCTATCCTCTTTCCAGGATTTTGCTTGTTCAGTGTGTGAGTCCACAGCTGCAAGTCTCTCTTAGCAGGGCTCTGACAGCTCCAGGGTGAGAAGGGGAGGCTGAGTCTGTAAGAACTTTTGTTTTAATCAGAGCATAATGGCTAGAGAGCGGGCAAGCCGAGGCTCAGAGCTTTTCCCTAAGTTCTACAGCCTCCTTGATGAATAATACATGAAGAGACACAATGCTGCAAGATAACTTATAAGACAGCTCACAGCTCCAACTTACTCTTAAAGCAGTGAGAGTCAGGATACAACCTATGATAAGTGCTTGGACGTCCTTTCTTTTTCCTTTTCTTAGTAATGAAACATTTGATACATAAATACAGCTGAGAAAGCTAAGAAAGATTTTATCACTGAGATGGTAAAATCATTTGAAAAATTCCACCCAATGTTGAATCATCACGGGAAGTTCCAGGAGAATCAATCCTTTATGTTTTTACTTACAAGGGTTCATCTCACTGCTAAGATTGGAGAAGTGCTAGGTTTTGAGAAGTCTGAAGGCAGGGAAGGAAATGAGGAGTTGGGTGAAAACAGGCTTTTGATCAGAAAAATCTAGAATATGGATAGTAATAATGATAGGTCATTGACTAGCTGTGAGGCTTTGGGCAAGGTACACAGCTTCTTTGTATTTTTTCTAAGATGAGTGTCTCGACTGTACATACTCATAGGATTTTGGAAGGATTAACTTGAATACTAAATATAAAATGCTCAAAATATTAACAATTGTCTATAAAATCCCCCTTTTCGAAACTGTGTGGCATGGGAAATGTTACTCTTTCTGAGTCTAAGGTCCCTTGTTTACAAAATGGGATAATGACACTTACCGAGGATGGCTCTTATGCAATGGATTATCTGACGTATAAAGTGCCCAGTATAATGGGCAGCACATGGTAGGAATTCAGTAAGTTCTAACCATTGAGGCTCAGCAAACCCTACATTTTGTTAAAAAGGCTTAAAGGACATGGTGGCATTTGAACTATATCTGAAAGCCAGGAGGGCACAGGATTCTGCTGAATAAAAAGAAATCCAGGTGGTACAAATATTGCAGATAAACAGTGTCTTTTCTGGACATTGTGATAACCATTTATAATCTGGCTTTCACCAAGAGAGAATTTGTTTAGTTTGTTCTACCCTGACCAGGACTACTAGACCAATGATTGTCACCTGACTCAAAGTCAGCCAATCAATAAGCTGTTGAGATGGCCCAGAAGGGAGAGAGGGTGCTGCCCAGAAGAGGCTTCTCATACTGGATGATGAATGGCCAAAAGGGAAGAAGTAGGAAGAGGCACTAATCAGAAACCAGGAAGAAGCAGAGAAGGAGGGACAAGAGAGAACAGCAGGAGCTAATGGAACAGAAGCAGAGAGTGGCCAAGCCACTGTGATGGTGAGCACCAAAGCCAGGAGGACCAGAGGCTGACTGCTGCAGTAGTGCAGACACAAGCTGCTCTACTCAGCTTTCTTGCATCTGGTAGAACCTTCCAGTTCACCTGAGGGGTAGTGGGTGTTTAGGGTTTTTCACTTTCCTGCTTCAGCTTTTTTTTTTTTTTTTTTTTTATTCCTATCGAAGGTAGGAGGAGCAGGTGATAGTTAGAGCCAAAAAGGGCCCCAGTAGGAGCCTGGCTAACATTTACTGGTCTTGTTCTTCTGTGCTTTTAACTATCACAACAACCTCAGGCCCTCCCTGTCTGTCATCATCCCCACTTCATAGATGCAGTCAGTCACAGTTTTAGGAATCTGCCTGCATGACAGGGCTAGGTCTTGATTTGAGTCACCTTAACTCTGGGGAGAATGCTCTTAGCCAGAGCCTCCTTCAGGCAATCCCGCCTGTGTGCTCAGCCAGCACTTGTGCAGGGAAGTCAAGCCCTTAATTATAGTCAGCACCTCAGCCATGTTAATAAATAGGACAAGAAGCAAGACCAGTGTGTCCTTCAGTACATGGTAACATCCATGGAAGCATGTTTTCTGTTGCTTCAAAAGGCAAAAGAAGTAGCTCTAGACAAAAGCTAGGGCTGAAGGATTGTGGGTTAACCCATACATTTGGAGTGGTCTTAGAAGTGAAAGGAGCTCCCAGAGGGGTGGTCTCCCTGCCCTGTCAGAGTCCGCAGTGAGATTAGTAGAACTCCAAATCTTTCCAACCTTCCATCCTTTCTTCCTTCCTTCCTTCCTTCTAACCTTCTTCCTCCCTCCCTCCCTCCCTCCTTCCTTCCTTCTTTCCTTCTTTGCTTCCTTTGTTCCCTCTTTCTTTTTTCTTTTCTCTCTCTTTCTTTACCTCCTCTTTCTCCTCCTCCTCTCCTCCCTCTCATCCTTCTTCCCTTCTTTTTTTCCGATGTGTGGTCTCACTTTGCTTCCTGGCCTTGAACTTGTGATCCTCCTGCCTTAGGCTCCCAAGTAGCTATGATTACAGGCATGCACCACCATGACTGGTTTCCAGGTCTGCTTTCTACTACAGGATTTTGTGCTTATTTTCCTTTACCTTCCCCCACCTCAATATTTAATAAATATCCACTACTTGAAAAGAATCATTTTGGAAATTGTTGGGAGTACACTAATAAATAAGAGTCAATGTCAACAGACCAGTCAACTAAACTAATCATATATACATATGACTATATCTATATCTATATCTATATCTATATGTCATGAACTATAAATTATTCATTCATCAAACACCAAATACCTAAAGGGTACCAGGTACTGAGAAGGGTCCTGGCTAATAAATAATAATGATGATACTGGTTATAACAGCAGTTACCATTTAGTGAGAGCCTTCTGTGAGCCAGGCACTGTGTCAGAATTCTCCGACTTGTTTTATCCCCACTTTTCAGACACTTGAAGAAATTAAAGTGTCTGATACAGATGTTCAGAGTAGGCAACTGCACTATGATCTGCTTGGCTTGAAAGCTGTTCAGCTACATCATACAGTTCTCATACAAAGACACGCAAGACAGGCTTTCCTTCTAAGATCTTGGCTGTAGAGGAGATGCAGACATAAACTGCTGTAATGTAATGTATTAATTGCTATAATACAGGGGTAACTTCACTTTTAATTATTTCAATATGCATTTTTTTTTCATTACTGGGTTTGAACTCAGGGCCTTGCACTGGTTAGGCAGAGCTCTACCCCTCCAGCTGTGCCCCCAGCAATTATTTTAATAAGTATTTCTAACAGAAGATTGTGTTCAAACCTTAAGCGCGATTCATTTTCACAGTAACAAAGTTTATAATTCCTTTATATTATTTAAAATCTAGTTCTCATTCAGTTTTTCCCCTTGTCTCCAGAACTTTCTTTTTAAATTCTGTGATTATGTGATCGAATCAGTAAAGCTGCATTTCTCTTCAGTAGAAGGCACCCATGTAAAAGCCAGACACCACTGTGTGGGTGTGAGTGAGAGGCTGACCACAGGTGCTGGTGTGGGGACAGCACAGCATGTTCCTTCCAGAATGCCTTCTCCACAATGTGGGCCTGTGACCCACGCTAAACCAGGCATTTGTATTCCTGGTCCTACGATTAGAATGACCTAACGATGAAGATGGCTTTATGTGTTCAGCCAGCAGTGCCCTAATGAAAATGTCCCCTGGTGTCTGCTCTGGATCCCTGCAGAAGTCCTGACTCCTGTCTCTTCTGAGGCCCTATTCGGTTTCTTTCAGATGAATTTATGTAGGCCAAAACCAGTTTCTGTTGCTGGCAACCAAGAAACAAAAAGGACAGAGTAAGTCCTATGTGCTAGGGGCAATACAAAGTGTGCTATAGACATTATATCTTTTAATCTTCAGTAAAACCAGATGCAGTAGGAAGTAAATCAAGAACCCATTGTACAGATGAGACAGCTGAGATACAAAGATGTAAAGTTATCTTTGACAGACCACACAGCTAGGAAGTGATAGACCCAAGACTCAAACTGAGATCTATGAGACTTCTAAGTTCACACCATAAATCAATCTGATACAATGCTTTTCCTGTGGTAACAATCACAATGAATTGGAATATGGACCCCATGCCACGGGCATCCACGAGAAGGATGCAGTGAACTCAGCTTATGCCTCAAGAGGGAGAGTGATGCCAAAATGAAATTCATCCATCTGACTAAGCACCAAAGGAGAGGGGACAGCTGAGCTGAGTCTTAAAGAATTCATGAGTTCACCAGGTGACAAAGGTAGGAAGGACATTCCAGGCAGAGGGCATGTCAGGCAGAACAGGTCTCTTGCTACTCTTTGAGACTCCAAGACACCACATACAGGTTGCTGGGTGACCCAGTATCAAATCCATTTGTGACTCATCCAACTCTGAACAGACATCTCTGTACTAGGTACCAGGTTTGTCTTGTTTCTGAAGCC